ACAGAGTTAAAAAATAAATTGCAACCACTGTTTCCTGACATCATCCACTTTCGTTGGGCACGGAGGTGAAAAAAACAGCGTTTCAGGCGGTTGCGCACCGGACGAGAAGCGCAGCGTCGCGTCGCGCCACGTCTTTAAAATTCAAATACTTTCTTTTCTATGAGTGTAGGCACACCGGCGGCACTGTTCGGCGTCTGTCCGTGGCACCCAGCTACGTCGTGTTGTACTTGTAAGAACTGTTCTAGACATGCCGAAAATTTGAAGCTACAGCACAGCAGCTCTTCTTCTTTGTTTTCTCGGACGCACAAACTCTGCAGCAGCACTTCTTCTTCGTCGTCATGAATGTTCCGAAGTGAAATAAACTTCAAAGGAATAAAGTTGGATGGAATTGAATTGAATTAAAGTTGAATAAACTTCAACTTTACTGTTCAGTGCACTGATGTCAGACTAATTTTGGATAATAAAGTTTATTGTTAAATTGTTAAATGCCCTGCCTCCATCATTACATATCTTTGTCACGTCATTATAAGTATTTGATCACCACATTTGAGTGATCATTGCAAAAAATGTGCTTATGTATATATATTCCGTTTATGTATATACTGTATTCTATATATAGGACCAGTCAAATGTTTGGACACATGAATGGGGAAAGTGTCCAAACTTTTGACTGGTACTGTACTATAATATGCACAAAGAATATCGGCCGATATATCGATATCAGCCTTTTTTACTCCCTAATATCGGTATCGGTCCCAAAAAACCCATATCGGTCGGGTTCTATTATATATCGCTATCTAATATAGGCTGTCTTATAGGGCTGCACGATTATGACAAAAATCAAAATTGTCGATTATTCCCTTGAAATTGTAATTGCGATTATTAATCACGATTATCACGATTTACATTGAATGATGTTTATACCATTGTTTGATGCAACTGCATGCCGTATTTTTATATGAAAATAAACAAGCTGAAAACACTCTAACTGAAAAACTTTTAGTGCTTTTCCATAGTATTAAGCCTCAAATGTGGATTGGTTTCTTCTTTAAATTATAAAAAAAGTAGAATGGTATTTGTAACAAAGTTCGTAGTCACGGGAAGAAGGAGGCGGGAACCGGCGAACATTTAAAGACTTTATTAAAATAAACAAACACAAAATGAAAGTAAAGCGGCAGCCCCTTGCGGAAAAAAAATCCAGGCCTGGTCCTGTCACATACAACACTGTTGTCACTCCTCCTTTTATCCTTCCGGAGCTCCTCCGTGGGACTCAAGACCGGTGAGTGGTGCAGGTGTCGCTCATTATCAATTACTCCACCG